ACCATAGAAACAAGAGTAGAAATCCCATAACATAACATGCTTAACAACTTACAACACAAACAAATTACCAAAAGAAACAAAACCAAGTTCATCCAATACAATTAAAAAAAGACATAAATTGGTAAACCAAAAAAATCTAACATTATTGTCAATGAAATCAAAGACTACTGGCAATGGGTGAGTCCAGTCTTGTTTTGTTTTGCTTTGCTGCTCTGCTGAGAGAAGTTGGCTTTGCTTGAGAAAAGAACCTACAAACAAATAGCAGAGCTTTAAAACATGTTGAGAAATCTGGAGCCAACAACAGATTCAAGGAAGTGATCTTATAGGAATTGATTCCATACTACCAACTTGGTTTACAAGATGTTGAGAAATCTCAATATACAAAAAAAATCAAATGAAAAAGAAATATTAACGTTCCAACCACAGACATTAGCCAATCTTATCACCCACGATTTTGTTACTACCCAAACCCACAAACTAATTTCTATATAAATGGAATGAAAGTATAAAACCCGAAAATAAAAATGATCAAAGTCAAAATATGGATACTTACATAGTTGGAGTTTATGAGATAACACGATAGAGCAGAGGATGAAGGGTGTATGCATCTCAATCTCATCTCCTCCACAATACATAGGCTTCCCACATCAGACGCATTTTTGGCTTTGTTACCGTTGTGGAGTACTGAAATAAGGGGTTTTATTGGCACGTGTTATTGGGCTCACACGTGACTTGTTTATTGCAAAATTCTGAAAAATTGAATATTTGTCAGCAACTCCGCTTTCAGGTGAGATGACAGAAATTTTAAGAAACAAAACAAATCAAATTCAAATTAGAATTAATCAATCAACCCCTTACCTCCATTCAATAATTTTCAAGAAAGGTTGGAGTATGTTCTTAGCGTTAGGATGATCCCACTCCACCACTGATTCCCACCATTCTTTCGACTCTTTAAAAATTTTGATTTCTCTGAGACGAGGAGGAGGAGATGGTTGGCCATTATCAAGCAGTGGAAGCTGCACAGGGATCCTCTTTAACTCTGGACATTCGTCTATCAAAATTTCTTCAATAGAATCACAAACCATAACTCCTTTGGCATTGCAGATGCTCTTTAATTGGGGTAAATCCTCCAAGAAGAATCGCCTTAATTTAGGACAAGTGAAAGTAAATTTATCCGATGATGGTGCATTTAAATCTGATGAGGCTATTATCTCCTCCGTTTGTTCGCAATTGCAAACATCAAACACCTCTAAGTTTTGGAGGCCCTGTAGTAGCTCAAGTGAAAGCAACTTCCTCATTCCAGAACATCCACATATAAAAAGCTCTTTAAGATTTGAAAAGGCATGAGGTGATGTTGCTACTCCTTCCCCTCTCACAAGGACACTCAAGTTAGGCAAGCCGACAAGAGTCAACTCTTCGAGCTTATCCAGTACTGGACAACACAACGAGGAAGAGGATGAGTCCAACTCTACTATGCACTCTATCCCTTCACAATCACAAAGAAAACACCTTCTCAACGCGGTTGCATTTTCTAACAAAACTATTTTGTTCAAGCTGCATCTCATGTTTTTCATGTTCTTACATTTAGCGATCCACAAATCCTCAAGAGTATCTGGAAGCACTATACATTCTTCTCCAATCTCACATTCAGCAATTAAAACCTTACGTTGATATTTATCACCAGACACATAAACCATGTCTTGTTTATCTATTCTCAGTTGAAGATTGTAAGCAGTAAGACTTTCAAAATCTTTAGACTTATTGACAAGATAGTTGAAGTCTTGCATGCTCTCCATTCCACATTCCAAACTCTCCAACTTGCTCAATCTAAAAACCTCTTCTAAATTTATTCCTTTAGTAATTGAGATGCTTGGATGCACAACCAAGTACTGGAGACTGGAAAGGCTAGGTAATATTCCCGTTGGAATCTCTTTCAAATTTTGACAATATA